AAATTATGTGTCGTCATTAAAAATTATTTTATATTTTGAAAAAAAAAACAGCTGTTAGCCTGTCAGCAGGCAGGTGTTAGAGGGAATGTAAGCCTGTCAGAAATGTGTTATTGAAGTGCAATATATATATATTTTTTCAACATTTTATATCTTTAAGGACAGAAAAGGGGGAGAGAGAGTACAGTTATGATATGCAGCAAAAGGCAAGAGCTGTACCCATGGCTGACACAGAGAACTCACAGCTTCAGTACATGGGGCGAACGGGCTACCAACTGAGCTACCAGGCCACCATAGCACACATTTTTAAATGGATGGTTAATCAGGAAAAAAAAATATTAACCTTGAGGGTGACACAGTTGAGTTTGATCTGTCATCTATCTTCACTCAGTTATAAATTTCCAGTGACGTGAAATATCTAATCAAAAACCAGTGTCCAATCCATAACTGAAATCCAATAAGGAGGTATTTTCCGCAGGTAAAAGACAAAAGAACTCTCAATAGCTTGTTTGGGTGGGACCAGTTAAACCATAAATGTTAAAAATCTGTGTCAGATTCTACAAATAACACCCTGAAGCATTGATGACAGGCCTACATTCCCTCTTATATTGCTAACCACTGCCTGCTGATGGGCTACTCACACAACTCTCCTATTTCCCTCTGTGACTACTCTGAAGTACCCAGTGTGGCATCCTGTAACACACCTGAAACACACACCTTTGTAGGCTTGAGGCATTTTTATTCTAAGGTTAAAAAATTAACCTGGTCTTAACCTTTAATGTAATCATCTGGCCACATTTATAACTTTGGTCTTGCCACCACTCTGGTATTGTTCTCCTGTGCTTCAAACCCTATAAGTATCATTTTTAATGGCTATAAATATTGTATTTTGTGTAGCTCACAAGTGCAAAAGCAGTCCTCCTCCTCCTCCTCCTCCTCCTCCTCAACCTCAAGTAAATCATCTCCGGAGAAAAAGAAAGGGAAGCACAAGAAATGACAGCACAAGAAAGGGAAGGACAAGAAAGTGAAAAAAAGGAAGGAAAAGTTTCCCAAAAGACGTGCTGCTTTTTGCATGTCTTTTACAGTTTGGATGTTATTTGTTCTCTATGTTCAATATTGATGAATAATTCAACACTAAATACAATATACCATGTCCATTCCAACTTGATTGTGTACTTGCTGCAGCAAAAAAACACTATTTATGCACTGTTTTTGTTTGGCATCTTTATTAGGGGTATTGCTATATAGCAGTTAAACTGATATATTGCATATTCTTATTCTGCCCAAATTTCTAAGCTGAACCTGCCCACAGTTTTCATGGTATCAACACCAAACCAAAAGCAAAACATCAGAGATTCAGGCTACGCCACATGAAGCTGGAGCTGTCTGTATCCTATTTACCTTGTTCGTCTGTAAACACGCCATCTTTTAGAGAAATATCTGCGTCCAGACGAAACCACTCAAACAGACTCGAAACACTGTAGTATACATGCCAGGTCAGACTCTGAGGGGTTGAGAGTGAGGGGTCAGAGGTTGCAGAGGCGGGGCGATGACATCATCGAATCACTAAAGGTGTGTCTCAAGTCTCTTAATTGCATCCATGAGTGCAGCTGACTCAAGGGGTAATATATTTGAGAAAATAATTTATTCAGCAAGAATTAAAGAATACAAATGTGAGTTGACTGATCTGCAGTAGCTTATTGGTCCAGGTGTAACTGCCAAATGAAGAATACAGCATAAGCCCACAGGTGGTTTCGTGTCTTTTATACTAAAAAAATGCTTAAAATGGAATGGGGGTGTCTGTAAATATGATACGATAGATGATAAGATAAGTGTATACATATAAAAGAACATATTTAAATGAGCGGACAATTATTTATAAATATCCTATGTGCCACATCTGCACACGTGACCTGTACTAACGGTGCACAGTTATCATTGGCAGAGCAGCAGTGTTTCCTCTGCAGCCTGTTTAACAGCCGCACATGAATAAAAACCTGCATTCTGTTTTTATACTGTACTGCTCAGTATTTATACTGCTCAGACACAATACGTTTATGTTACTTATCAATTAATTGCATCTGTATTCATTATGATTGTGAAATCATTATTTAATAATCCAGAATATAGTCATGATGTCTTTTGAACACTGGAAATTTATTAGTCTAAAAGTTCCAGGGAAAATTGAAATGATGTAACTCATCAAACCTGATGATCAGGGATTTTCAGCGTCACACGAGACTGAATTGAAATAACAACTGATGTTTACAAAGTTTTTCTTGCTGACAGACTCTCTTTGATCCATAATAAAAGTTAACAGGGAAAATAATCTTTCTAATAAATGCAGAAGGTTGTTTATGGTTCTTTTGTTGTTCAGACTGAAATTTTTCATTGTTAATACATGTAAATTGCAGTCGGACTCCTCTCCTGCCGACAGCAGTGCTCTGCTGTAAGGCTGTCAGGAGATTCAGCAGGAGAGCCCGCTCTGCAGAGTGGGGGAAAGTGAGGGGGACAGCAGCGGACCTGGTCCCACCTCCGCCCATTCGCTCTGCAGTGTCAGTGTGCGCCTCATTATCATTAATACATTGAGCATCCAGACCAGTAAAAATCTTGCGGGCGAATTAATTTTCAAAATGTTTTTGCCATATTGATTAGCTGCTTCAGCTTCTTGAGTGTAAGCACCAAGACTGCACTACTCAAGCTATCTCATGTTGTTGGATCACAACTATGTAACCTTTTCACTGTTTCTTTAGGTCTTTAACAACAAATTTGAGATTAGCATCACCTCTTTGACATTATCATAAGTGCTACTACTACCACCACCACCACCACCACCACTACTACTACTGAAACTGGCAACAGAACAACCACTTGCATTAATATTACTGTTACAAATTAATATTATCCAGCAATTTACCTCACAATATATTATTCTGTCTGTGATTAAAATTACCAGTTGTCTTATGTTGAATTTCTTGTCTTGTAGTTGTCGATAAGGGTGATGTCATCCAACGATATTCAGTTCAGTATTCAGTATTCCTGGTCCACTACCAAAAATGCAGGAGCATAGAGTGGACAGCGAAAAAATACGACATCGATTCTGCCACAATCTGAAACACTGCAGCGATTGCTGAAGTTAGCATCGTTGCCCCAGAGCTAGATCCATTGCCACGGGGAGAGGGGCAGACGCTCCTTAAATATGCAACAACCGTCAGTGAGTTCATAAATGGACTTCCAGAATTAAAAAAAAAAAATCAAAGACATGAAAAAGAAAAAGAGTTACTCCCCTGGTGTTGTTTTCCCCTCATTGTCGTAGGTTTATGTGTT